GAGAGAGAGAGAAAGAGACAGAGAGATTTTTCTATCCACTGTTTCACTCCTCAAATGCCTGCAATAGCCGGGGCTGGACCACCCTGAAGTCAGGGGCCTGAAAACCAAATTGGGTTGTGTGGGAGGCAGGTATCCAACTACTTAAGCTATCACCTCCTGCTGGCCAGTGTGTGACCAGTAGAAGCTGGAATCAGAAGTGGAGCTGGGACTCAAAACCCAGGCACTCTGGCATAGAATGTGAGCATCCTAAGCAGCAGCCAAGCATTGTGCTAAATCTCCAATTTTATGTTTAATCCTTCCATATCCCTTTAATGTCTCTTTTAATCACAGCGTAGGTAGATTTTTAAAAATCCAATTGCTTATAAATTTAGCCCATTTATATTTATTGTGTGATTATATTTTATAAATATATTTGGATTTACTTCTGCCTCCTAATCCTCTTTTAATCAATTTTTAAATTTTTATTCTTTTCTCTTTTTCTATGTTCTTTGGAGTAGGTACAGTTTCACTTATTTCATTTCGTTCCTTTGTCCCCAGTAGTTTTTTGTTGGAATTAGTACATTCTACTTCTCTTAACTACTCTGTAACTACCCTTAACATTTAATACACATTATTTGACTTAACAAAATATAAACTTAATGAGTATCTCTGAGAAAGAGTTAAGGCTTTTGGATAATGTTGTTCATAGAGACAGACAGTAAGGACTATGACCTATTTGGAACCAAAGCCGAGTTCTGTTTTGTGCTTGCTGGAATGGAGGGCACATCCAATTATGACTTGAACAGATACTTACACATCTATCTACTTTGATGGCTTTATACACTTTGCAAAGAGAACTTCTTTGTGAGTATTCTGCGTTGCTTAAACAGTGACAGAAGTCAAAAGCAAAACCAAAATAATCAATGTCAGTGTTTGCCTTCCCTTGGTGTTAGAACCATGTCCCCTCCCCCTCCACCCCCAACTTTGGTCACCAGGGCCAAACAGAGCACAATGTCTCCTGGAAATAGCAGGCTTCACAAACAAAACTTCAGTAACTCTTGATAGCTGGGAACTGGGTCTGAAATGCTGACCAGGATCCACTCGTACAAAAATAATGCCTTACCTGGCCTCCTCCATCTCCTCTGATACGTTTGTGGCTTAAATAATGGGGAGAGGCTTGGCTCATCTCTGCTTAATAGAGGAGGGAATGATAAAAACTATTTTTCACAGCAATTAAAAAATTATTTTAGCTTAAGCCCTTAATCACAGCTGACCTGGACTACACCAGACTTCAACTAGTGAACATAATAAGCCCCTCAGACCTCCTGCAGGTAAGGTTCCATTTTTACACTTTCCAAGTGCTACTGTGAATACTGTGCCCACTGAACCCTTCGGACAGCCCTGAGCAGTGGCAGGGTGGGGAGTGCTGGAGAAAACACTTGGATGGAGTAGATGACACGCTTGGGTTCCAGAGCCAGTTGGTGACAGCTGCTGGAGCTGTGCTGGGCCGGCTCATCACCCCACACTGAGTGGTGACTGCTGTGTCTCAGGGAGAGGCTACACACTCGGCATTCTGTTCCTGCAGCAGGGCCACAGCAACGAAGCATGTCAGCCTCAACAAGGATGTTCCCGCAGGTGTGGTGTGCCTCTCACCGCGGTGTCAGTGATAAACCAAGGAAGTCATCTGGCTTTCCTAACATCTCTCCAGTGCACCACACCTCCAGGGGCTGTGCTTGGTGCACAGTGGTGACATGGAGTCCACGAGGCTCGCTCTTCATCTCTGAACACACACAGATAATCCCCTCCCCTGACGGCCAATAAAAAGAAAACAGGAACGAGGAGCAGAACTCATAAATTTCCATTATGCTTAATGCCTGATTTCCCTGAGTTAATGGATTCATTTATTACAGCAATCTGTAAATCCCCAAGGGCCTCCTAAGGTGGCTGCCTCATAGTTTTTCTATGTCATATACTTCCTTGATTCTTCTTGAACAACGAATGGGTTGTCAAGGAGCCATGCAGTCAGTGCTCAGCGACCAACCGCTGCTCAAGCTATAGGCAAACTGTAAATAACGTTAACAACAAGGCTTTGGAGGCTCCCAGGGTTTCCTTCAGCAACAAAAAGCAATTTCATTTTTTGGATGTTTCAGCTGATTCATAAATCCAGCTGTCATGGTCTCCTGACTCCATGCTGAGTCCAGACTGCTTGTCGGAGTCGACATGTGCCCTTCAGGTACGATGCGAGCTGGACAGCTTAGAGAGCCACCCAGAGTCAGAGCAGCCACTCCAGGACTGCCCATCTCACTCACGGGAACAGAGAGACTGCAAGGTTGCCGCCTTGTGTCACCACGGGTTGCATTGTGGTCAGGAGCGGGGGACCTCGGAGGACCTGCTAGGCCCTGGCTGAGGTCATTCTGTCTGTGAGAGCTCTGCAGGGGTGAAGTCGAAGCTGTGGGACTAGCACACACGTGTGGGTGTGAGCACCTGTAGGATCCTCAGCCAGACCTGGCACCTGCAGCCTCAGGTGGGCTTGCGTGCATCTGTTCCTCTTCATCTCAGTAGAAGGGAAGCAAGAATGCAAGTGGATGGAGCCAGATCCATGCCCAACTCAAGGGAGTTTCAGAACAACTCAAGGGAGACTCCTGGTGAGGGCTGGATCTAGCAGGAGGGCTATCCTCCCACAATCGGGGATCGGGGAGAACGGGGACCTCCATGGGAGAAGTCCTGGAGACCACAAGAGACAAAATTTTGCCCATCAAAGACTGACAGTGCAAATGACTAGCTGTACAGTTCAATGGCAACCACTAGCATTACTGGCTCCTGTACTGATGTAAGTATGTAACTTAGGAAGTACACAAGAAAAAGACAACCGGAAGGAATAGAGCATCATCTCGTAGCTGAGAGTGGTTATGTGCCAGTGGAAAGGTGATGGGAGGGCTGGTTTGCTCTAAATCAGAAAGGGGTCCTGAAAGGAGTGAGAGCGAGATCCGGTGGCTGGGGAGAGACACAGGGAGAGACAACAAGAGGGACAGTGGTGGGCAGAGAGCTGTGAAAGCCCAACGAGGAAAGAGAAGGGTTTGGGAGAGGCGGCGAGGACCGGGAGGGAGATGCAATGTGCTGTGCCCAGGCGAATCTTGTCCCTACAGTGAAACTGACACAAACGAGTCATTTTCTGTCTGTTACTGTGTTCTGTGAAAAGAAGTGGACCGAGTTTCACTGGATGAGAACGTGGAGAGAATATTTGGGAAGGTGTCTGCAAAATTCTCTCTGGGGGGGTTCCTTGGAGGAACCTCAATCAGTACTTGAAACTAGGGCCACTGACGGGGTCCCTGGTGGCTGCAGATGGGGAAAAAATGCACCCGAAACATTAAAATGCCAGGACAGGGAGAACGAATGGAGGCTTCCAACTCGGACCCTAATTCCCAATCATCAGGATGAGTGATCTTAAGTGGTGCCTTGATTCAGGATGGAATTGCTTTCAGCAAGAGCAGCTCCCCAAGGCTGTTAAGGGATGAAAGAAGGCGGGGAGACCGGGTTGTCTGCCACGAGGCTCCCAGTGCTGGCTGGGTAGGTTTCTCTGGGTGAGCTTCTCCTGCTGGGAGACTGGCATGGGGCCAAAGGAGAGGTTGCCAGTGGACCTGAATAGCTGAATCAATGGCAAGTTTATGGGGGCAGATGTCCGTGCCAAGCAATGGGTCAAAACCCCACTCCTGGTAAAAACATTGCAGGGCATGTGAAGGCACTTAACTCTTCCACGTGATGAACGGCAAGTGGGGGCCTTGTGTTCACAGAGCCCCGCTGAGGCTCAGTTCCGCCACCTTCCAGCTGCTGACCTGGAACAAGCCACTCGGCATGCCTGAGCTGTGTTTTCCTTTCCTGAGAAATGAGCATTAGTGCCCGCCTCATAGTGTTACGGGGAAGTGAGCGTGAGTTGACTTGGTGCCCAGAATACGTTGCCTGATGACACGGCTGCAGTCACAAGACCGCTAGGGAATTAGGCACAATCAGCACCTGCATTTCCAAGGTGACGCTGCCACGTCGCTCTCCCGGTCTCTCTTTGGTCTCTCTGTTTGACATTCTTTGTAACCACTAGCGGGCAAGGATATGCTTTCAAATTCTGTCACTCATTAGCTTTGTTTTTTAATCCGCAGGGATGTAACTGATATGTTTTATATAAATACTGTAAATTTGTATATAGTGGGTGCATACAAGGTTAGAGGCTTATAATAGAGAATTCGGTGGTTTCTATGTTTGAAGTATGTCTACTACGGGTAAGTAATTGCGATGACGAAGGCCCGTGTGCAGGGACAGACCTGCCTTCCCCGCGCAGCAGGAGGACATGGGAAAGCTGAGGAGCACGCAGCCACCAGGCGCAGCCTGCAGGCCCTCAGAGCATTCCCTTGGCACAGCGTCCGTCCTTTAAAAGTCCCACTGAATCCACCCTCACGCCCTCTTCCTTCCAGCAAGCCCAGAGAGTTTCCTTTGCGTACAAACATTTTGCCGGCCCTCTTGTGTCCCCGTGGGGCCTCCTCTGCCTTTGCTCACAGGCCCCCAGGTGGCCAGGCCGCCCGCGCTGCCCGCTACACCCGGGCCGTGCACACCCAGCCCCGGCAGTGTGAGGGTGGATGGCAGAGCCTCGGTCCGGCCCCTCCGCTCTTGTGGGTTTCAGCCAGACCTGGGGTGTTATTTTAGTGCAACTGCAGTGTTTAATTTGAGGATGTGTGTGGACCAGAAGGAGGGACCAAAACATGATTTTTCCCCCCCTTTCAGCCAAATGATTAAATTTGAAGTTCTAAAAAACGCACAGCTGGGTCCAAAGCGGCATCCAATTGGGAAGAGAGAAGCGCCCCTGAAAACCCCTCCCTCGCCAGGGCCCATCATAGCCCCGCCGCCGGCTGCCACCTCCCTGGCAACACCTGGGCAGTCTGCTCACCCCCAGCCCAGCAGCCGCTGCCCGCCCTGCCCGCGCACCGCGTGCCTGTGCTGGAGGATCAGCGCACAGATCTTCTCCTTTCTTACAGTGCCGAGCGCCCCGCCGCCATGGCTGAGGGGGAGGTCACCACCTTCACAGCCCTGACCGAGAAGTTCAACCTGCCTGCAGGGAACTACAAGTTGCCCAAACTCCTCTACTGCAGCAACGGGGGCCACTTCCTGAGGATCCTGCCGGACGGCACTGTGGACGGCACAAGGGACAGGAGCGACCAGCACAGTAAGTGCCCGGCTCGGTTGCACCTGCTCCCCTGGCTGGGGTCTTCCTTGGTCAGGGACCGGAGGACCTCTAGGTCCTGTTCGGGCAGGACACACACAGAGGTGGCGGTGACATAAATGTGTCGAGGCTGGGTTTGCGAAGCTACCGCTCACCTAAGGGCATCCAATTTCAAATTTGGAAAAGGACTCTGCTGACCTAACGCAGCTGGCTGCCTGCGCCCAGCCGCTGTGCGTTTCCCCAGGTTGCTGTAGCTGCCCCCTCCAGCTGCTTCCTGACAGGCAGGGGGCAGTAAAATCCCACACCAAGCCACGGGCTTGATGTCCAGTTCACTAACCCTCCAGGCTGGGATTGCACCCAGCGTACATGTAGCCTTGCACGTCGTAAGCCAGGCAGCCCTTTCTCTGCCTCCATGCAGCAGATGTAGCTGTGGTCCCCGGGAGGGGGGAGGGGTAGGTCATTCTCCAGACCTCGTGGAAACAGGACAGCAGCAGCAACAGGAGCTGGAGGCAGAGCGCCTCGCCCAGGCTGCACTGGCGGCCAGCTCCCAGGCGATACCAGTGAGGGAAGGTCAGGCTTGGGAGGGAAGTATCCTCTTGACATTGAATGACACAGCTCTCTTCCTTGCACCTGGGGACTTCCGGGGTGGGTGCGGATGCCGAAAATCAGGTGTCTGGTCCCTGGGTACCACGGGGGCACTGGATGTTGTAGAGAAGCCAAAAGCCAGAGCTGCTGGCTGCCTAGAGACTCAGCACCTCAAGAGTCAACCGCGCTGCAAATCAGAAGGAAAGTGTGGGTGGGCTCCGGCAGAGCAGAGGCAGCAGGCAGCTCCCGCGGGACTGGCTTCACGTGGAACGCTAAGTGCTGCCTTAGGCGGAAGGTGTATAGACCAGAGGCTCTTAATTATACATGCACCGTGCACCAACGGCTGCAGGCTTTCAACACAAAAGACCACTCCAGCGCTGCCCACTGTACCCCTACAAGCACAGGCAACAGTGATGGACACCAGGGAGCACCAGCCCCTCCTTGGCACCGCGGTGAGGTGCAGGAGAGGCTGTGGCCGGGCTGGCAGCTACAGGGGTCTGGGTTTGGGGCTTTGTCTGAATGTCCCATCTTCCAACGGGCCTGCTGAATGCCTGAGACTCAGCAAAACACAGGTTCTGGAAAGAGGTTCCTGCTAAACACACACAAAAGGGAGGTTTGCATTGCGGTGCGCCGTGTTAGGTGGGGTGCAGAAGTCGTGTGACCTGCAGCCGCCCCAACAACAGAAGGGGGACATGCTGTCAAGTCTCTGGATTTTAAGTGTTTCCAGGAAGCCTCTGGTCCTCAGGCTCTCTGGTCCTCAGGCTCTCTGGTCCTCAGAGCCCTGGAGGAAAGAAAAGCTTCGTGATGTGCTCTTCGGGGTTCAGCTGGCTCTTTTGGGAAACTGAATTCTGAGGTCACAGCAGGCTGCAAGGCTGGAGTTCTGCACACACGGTGCAGGATTTCACAGCTGCCATTCCGCCATCAGCACTCGGGACCGGGCTCTGGGTATTTAACACTGGGACAATCCCGAGGCCTGCTGGGGGTCAGACCGAGTAACCCTGACACTCCAGGAGCCCCGGGAATGCAGTGCAGCATTGCCATGGGGGGCGGGGGGAAGGTGTGCGGGCGGCTGCATCCTGCTCAGGCTCGCTGCTTGGCTGAGTGAGCGTGAGCAAACGCTGGAAGCTTCCCGGCCTGGATTTTCTCACTCACAGAGCAGCAGTATCACTGGGCTCACAGCTTTCTAGAGAGGATTAAATGAGATGCTACTGCGGGGATTTCTGGCCATGGGCGTGGCCCAGAGGAACAGCTCAGCCCACCTGGTTGACGTCCCTGCTGTCAGCACCGAGATGCCACATGCTCAGCCCAGCACATGGACACACAGGATGCCGTTGAGGATCTTCTTCTAGAATGCTCCTTCAGGGAAGGTCAAGAGCAGTGTCATTGATTGATGTGCTGACCTGGGCACCAAGGACTGGGGCCGTGGAGGGCTGAAATCAGAGCAAGCGGGCGCAGACGGCGGAACTCCGGGCCCGCCAATGCCAGGAGAAGCTGGCATTCCCACACTCTAGAGTCGGGGTGCGTGGAGTCCGAAGCTGGGGCTCACAGTGTGCCTGCTGCTTCCTCCCCTCTCTGCATAAGGGGCTCTGCAGAAGCGGTGTCAAGTGCCCGAGCCCGGAAGCTCCTCCCAGCATCCCCTCCTGTCCAGAAATGTCCACATCTGCCGGGTCCCAGCCATCTAAGCCTGGGGGAATCTTTTCATCTCACTGGGCCTGTTTCCTCTTCTGTGGGGTGGGAATAATATCACTGCCCTGTGTGCTCAGGAAGCTCAAAGACAGCAGGATCTGAATTGAAAGGCCTCCTGGGCACGGCCCTAGATGGGGCTCTGTCGCCCTCTTCTGTCCAGTGGCAGTACTGCTGCAGGACTCAGGAAATTCAATGATTACTGGCTGAGCCCCGGACACGGATGAACTGGATACTCCCTGGGTAACTGTGACACACTCAGTGTGACAAGTGGGTGGTCCTATTCCTTGATGATCAGTCGGAGCATGTCTGGGGACTGGCGGCAGATGGAGAGTCACACCTAAAAGCCAATCACATACTGTAAAAGATCTACATGCATCCTGCACACAGCACTGCACGCCTGGGAGCTGAGCAAGGCACAAGGAACAACAGTGCCAGCTTCTCTTTGTCTCCAGCTACGTGATCTTCTCTGGGCAGAGCTGGGAAGTTTTCAAAATGTGTCTTCTTCCTACCCCTAGGAGAATCCTGGTTAGGATGCTCGTGTGTGGCCCATGCAGATCCAGAGCTGAACGCAGGGTCCCTGCTGGCCGGTCTTTCCGCCTGGACAGAGATTGTCTGAGCTGGTCCCTCTACCAGGCCTCAAATCACAGTGGCAGATGGTGATCAGCACAGGCTGTGGACGCCCGGACACTGCCGCAGGGGCAGAGCTGTAGATTCTGGTACCAGTAGGGTGCCGCCTGTGAGAAGGTTCACGTTCCCTCCTTGGGCTGAGGCTCTGAGAGATGGCTGCACGGTGTCACCCTGAGAAGCAGGGTCCTGGAGGCGGCACAGGTGCAGGGGATGACAGCCGTCTCCATTTCAGACACAGAGAGCATGGACAGTGCCTGGACAACCATGCAGCTCTGCCTGGAGTCTCCTGCTGTGGGCATCCATGTGATGACATAATGGGGTTCTCTCCCAGGACATCCCCTCAGGGGAAGGACCTCGTCTCCTTGCCCAGCGCTGCTGTCTCCTGTGCCTAGTGCACTACCTGCACCTGGGTGTAAGTAGACACTGATCCGGCAAGTGGCCAATGGCACTGGTGGCAGCTGCATTCAAACCCAACAATATATTCAGTAAGTGGCCGATCACTGGCAGGTGCCAGGCGTGGTGCTAGACGCTTTCATCTCAGCCTGACCACAACACCGTGAGCTTCTGAAGCTCTGAGATGAGAACAGTGACGTCAACCAGGGCATGAGCGCTCCCAAACCGGACACTGCGCACTTCCTTCTCTGGGACCTGCCTCAGTCTCCTCATTAAAACATATTCATTTGCGCTGTTGTTTGTTTGAAACGCAAAGAGAGAGACAAAAAGAGAGAGCTTTCCATCCACTGGCTCACTCTCCAAATGCAGGCAACAGCCAGGGATGGGTCAGGTGGAATCTAGGAGCTGAGTACTCCATCCAGCTCTCCCACGTGGCCGGCCGGGACCATCACCTGCTGCCTCCCAGGGTGCACGACAGAAGGAATGTGGAATGGGAAGCCAAGCCAGCACTCGAACCCAGACCCTCCAATATGAGATGCAACTGGCAACTTAATCACGGTGCCTGAAGCCCGCACTCATCTCCTCGTGTTAGGAATAAGAGTGACAATGGCACCCATGTTGTAGGAACAACAGGAACACGAGATGTGACAATGTCTGACAAGGTGTTCCGCACACTGCCCGGCACGTGGCATCTGTCACCATCAGCTCCCCAGCCCTACAGCAAATCTGCCTCCCTCGTCTAACTATCTGGTCTTGCATCCGTTACATTAAATGAACACCACGCTTGCTCAGAGAACCAAAGGCGAGCCTCACCCTGGCTTCCCTGCGACTGTGTGGACTGGAGCACCAGAGGCCTGGGACACAGGCACATGTGCCCAGCGGCCCAGGCAGCAGCCGCGCAAGCCCTGCCCCAGCTAACTCCCTGCTTGTCTGCTCAGTCTGCGGGAGATTCCTCTCTGCAACAGGAGGTGGGCCGTATTCCTCCATGGGACTGGCAACCAGAATAGTAACTGAAGAACACACACTCATGAGCCTCCCAGACCCGTAGTCTCAGTACACAGGATTCCCGGCACCGCTCAGCATGCAGATGGAAATGTTCTGGGGCAGAGCAAGCGCCAATCAAATATTTATGGACACAGCCACATCCTACAGGCACCGCAGAATTTGCCGGTCGGAAGATTCCAGCTCCACAGCCCCCTCTCCAGGGCCCACGGCCCTTCCCAGGAATCGCCCTGCTGGCTTTGGGGAGGCCAGACTTGGGCGGGGCAGCCCCAGAGGGTCAGGCCTCTGCTCACCATCAGCCCGAGCGCACGGCTTTTCAAAGGCCCACGGTGGGCAGGGAGTCGGCGGGAGGCGAAGGGCTGGGCTCCCCACAGGGTGTGACGTGAAGCACTCCCCGCTCCTGCTGCCCACCCGCCTTCTCTTCTCTGATCTCGCCCGGGGAAGTTTCTAGATTAATTTAGGTCCCTGGTATCCACATCAGTCTCTGGACTACTTCATATTTCCCAGGCACCCATAAGGAACAGAAGCCTTTACACCTCCTATGAAGAATCTTTGTCATACATGCATGTGTACACACACACACACGCACACACAGGTGTGCACACACACACATGCACATGTGCACACCCCATAAGTGTGAGGGAAATGGAATGAACAGATACGCTGATTTTCACACAATGTAGTTTTGAAATCCAGGCACAGCTTTTCCT